AAAGGAGAGGGATGGTGTTCAACACTGAGAATTAAAAGCATTACTTTTTGGTCATCTCAGCACAAAACGCTAACTGCGCAGTAACCAAAAAGTACTGTGCAGTAGCATGTCACAGTACAAACAGTGCTAATATGCTACTGCACAGTATTATTAAGATACTGTGCAATAACAACACTAGAAAGGTGTTTGCAAGGGGTACTGGGCAGTAACCCTGGTTACTGTACATTTATTTAGTACTTGATTATACAAATACTAAATAAATGTGCAGTAACCACTGTGCAGTGGAATCCATATAGAAGTGCCCTCTGTGTACAATGTAGTAAATTAGGTATAGGAGTTAAATATTGAATTATGTAGTAATAGTTGTCTGCCTAAAATCTACTGCCCAGAATACCATTTTAGCTGCTAAAACAATATAGTAAAAGTTTATTATAAGAATTACAGCCTTCTGAGGATTGTCTAGTCTAATATTTTTTTTAAAACAAAAAACCCACAAAGTGTGGCTCCCCACTAAATGCATTATGAATCAGGCTCATAATTTTTTTTCCCACAAATTCAGTACATGAATTGATTTCAATTCTCATTTAATACTTCTTTCCATGTCTAGTAACTATATAGTATACAAGAAACTGAAAATTGGCAGCCCTGGCTCATTTATGAAACCTTTAGGGGATATTGATTTACCACTGAATTGTATAGTTCTTTTATTGTTACTGGAAGGATGCTGAAAAGCATGAATTAGATGATAGGGAGGGTTGGGATGCCAGTCATCTGAAAGCTAATGAAAAGACATTTCCTTGAATTTTGTCAAAATGAATTTTGTGAACTGGGATAAAACTACATGGTATTGAGCAGAATATTTTCATATATTAAGACCAGTGTTGAATTGCATTTTAATTGCATCCTTTAAACTCAAATTTATACAAGAGCAACATCAGTTACCAGATTCTCGGACCAGATTCTCAGAGAAAAAGCCCAGTATGCATTTCTTACAACATTCCTCTGTTACTGTGATCCAGTTAGAAGACAGTAAATAAAAGGGATGTCACAGATCGTTTAAGTTGTTTAGCATCGCTTACTGACAAAGCCCATGAGATAAGGTTGCAATTCTATTATTTTTTTCATTAACATTGTTCTGTTGTTGAACCATCACCTTTTATCATCTTACAGAAATAAACTCAAAATATCAATATGCACTCTTTAGAAACCAAGATGATCATTTTGGAATCGCCACACAAGAGAATCAAATCTTTTCCAGGATGAGTTGTCCTTTGCATTTTTGCAAGTTGCTAGAACACTTATAAAATGAAATTTATTCATTAGATCCTCATATGGTGACATACCCACAGGTTAAG